AATCGGACTATACAAGAAAACTGGAAGACCTCATTAGCAATGGTAGCTACAGCATAGTGAAGAAAGATCCTACTATGAAAACGGAACGCAAACTGTCACAGATCCTAATCAAGAACAAGGATCACTTCGCACCCAAGACGTATAGGCAGTTATCGCAGCGTTACAGCAAGTTACCTCACATATACGGTCTCCCTAAGATTCACAAAGACGGTATTCCACTCAGGCCGATTGTTGGTTGCCAAGGCTCTGTGTGCCACCCTCTGAGTCGCTTCCTTGTAGATATAATTGACCCATTGATCGGAAAGTCTCCTTCATATGTCCGAAACTCCGCCCACTTCGTGGAAATAATCAAAGATGCTCCCATCCGGTCCAACCAGATGGTGAGCTTGGACGTGGTGAGTCTGTTCACCAAGGTACCCACGGAGGAGGCACTCTCAGTAGTTAGAGATAGATTAACCTCTGACTCTTCCCTAGAGGAGCGGACCAGTATTCCAATAGATAATCTGATGGAGATGTTGACTTTCTGTACACAAACAACACACTTCGGAATGGGATCTCACATATATCGACAGGATGAGGGCAATGGGCTCGCCATTATCACCAGCAATGGCGAATATATACATGGAATACTTTGAAGAAATGGCATTAGAGTCTATATCGCTAAAGCCAACTATATGGTTACGGTACGTAGATGACACTTTCATACTCTGGCCACATCAGGAAGAAGTCCAGGTTCTTCTGGACCATGTGAACTCAATAAGACCTTCGATACAGTTCACAATGGAGAAAGAGAGTAACAATTCACTCCCATTCCTGGATGTACTAATATCTCGAACAGAGAATGGGTTCAAGACATCTGTATACCGTAAACCAACATTCACCGGACAGTACCTCAATTTCAACTCCCACCATCCATACAGCGTAAAGAAAGGGATCGTCCGATGCTTACAACACCGAGCAAAAGTCATAAGTGGCGATCCAGAGACGTTAGATAAGGAATTGGTCAGTATAAGTAGTACCCTACAACGCAACAACTACCCTGGGTACATGGCAGCAGCCCCCAAAAACTGGGATAGGCGGGTACAAGAGGAGGAGGAGGAGGAGGAGGACAACAACACTCAGAAAAAAAGTCTGCCTGCCTTATGTGAAGGGGTTATCAGAGAAAATACAAAGGATCTGCGGTCCATATAACATCAGGACAACCTTCAAAAGCGTGACAACACTTCGCAGGTATCTCTCACGAGTGAGACCCCCCATAGAGAGGAACATGACTAAAGACTGTGTGTACGCTATCCCATGCAGCTGCGGAAAGGAATATAAAGGAGAGACAGGCCGCCCCTCAAGGTAAGGCTTCAAGAACACCAGAAAGCTGTAACGCGAGGGGAAGTAGAAAAATCAGGCGTGGCTGACCACATATGGAGAGAGAAGGAGATCACCGCCCCTGTGGGATCATGTTGAGATCATAGACAGGGAACACCATTGGAAAATTCGTAAACTTAAGGAATCATATGCTAGGCCACAAAAATCTCCTGAGCCGACCAAGCATAGAAATAAATACAATATGGGAACCAGTAATAAGGAGTGCCAGAGAAAAGCAATGATAACAAAGTTGCAATATGAACTCTGGTAAAGACATGCAATGATAACAGCAAAAATTGCAATATGAGCACTGGTAAAAATGATGCTGAAAACATTAGGTTTATAATACTCAGAAGTTCATACCCAGATGTCCTCAAGCACAGTGGATAAAGGCGTTGGTTAGATCCAGTGACAGACCCAAAGAAGGTGAGTTCAATTCCTGGTTAAGGCAGTGGAGAACTTTCAGAGGGAAAATTAGCAGGTGATAACTGATAACTGACATCCATCAAACATGGCACGTGGAATTAGAACAGTCTACCCCAGTGATCGAAATAAAGGGTTCAGTTCGAAAGAAGAAGAAGGCCGGAGCGTAACAAATATGGCGACAAAGATGAGGACAATAGTCCGACTAATGTAAATACGGAACGTAATACCTCATCTCAGAAATATAGACAAACTCAGAAACACATCAATATATATATATATATATATATATGTATGCGTGTGTGTGTGTGTGTATATATCAGGTGAGATGCACAAATTGTCGTCTGAATGACGCAAAAAAAGAAAATGAAACCTCATTTTAACAAATTTATTTAACAAAATTACAACAAAAATATCTTGAAATACTAAGCCTTCAACCACGGCCTCCAGACGACTTCGGAATCTCCTGCTACTCTTCTGGACATGCTCCTTGTTTATGTTGGTGAATGCTGCCATAATATTTGCCTTCAGTTCATCTTGGATGTTACACAGAGTTTTGTTGATCTCTCGCTCAACTGCACCCGCACATAATAATCAACGGAGTCACAGTCTGGGGAGTTAGGTGACCACATGTAAAGTGTGATGGGTCGCAGAAATTGTCTGAGAGCCATGATTGGGTTCTCTTGTTTGTGTGACATGGTGCAGAGTCCTATTACCAGACATACGGTCTTCCAGTAGCCGCTCTCTTTACCCAGAGCAACACTACCTCCTTAAGGCATTTGATGTAGGTCTCTGTGTTGAGTCCGTGGAACTCATTAACAAATTCGGGGGTTCTTTTCTCATCAGAACGATCAGATATATAAATATTATTGGATTACAAAATACATTAATTATTTAATACATGTTAAGTAGTGGATAGCGGCTCAGATTGAGGAATCGGAGAGCCGAGTTCGAATTCCAGTCAAATCCATTACATTCACTTACGTGCTAATACCCTTGGGAAAGGTATAAATCCTTTTCTCCTTCCAGCTATGAGTAAATAACAGGACAGACTGGGTTCTATAGCCTTGGATAGCAACTGGTCTAAGAGAAGGACAACTCTGAATTCAAAAGCTGCGGAGGGTCGTTTGGGGATCTTGTGGCATGGAGCCCACCTGGCCTCTGTATTCGGCTCTACAAAAAGTGGGGTTGGCTCTGCACAAATCCTTCACCACTATAATCAAATCATATATGCTGGTGTCTGGCTGTCGGTTCGTAGGAACTGAGTTGCTTGGCCCTCATACGTCGAAGAGTCCCTCATCTGTCTAATGAAGATACCTCAATGGTAGAAACTCTGACACCAAATCGGTTGGATTTCAATCTTGACTTGAGGCATACGGAAGTCTAGTTGCACTGACGAGCTGTGATACAGCGAACACAATTGTCTGCGAATGATATAATTTAGCTCTTGAAAATATATTTCAATTGAACTCTGTTGAAAGACAAACTGATTCTATAAACAACAGCCACCTGCGCTAATGCAAAGCTCTTCAGTAAAATGAATCGAGCCCTATGGCTGATTGGCATTAGTTTACATTCGTAAAAAACAATACGCTAGATTTAGCCCGCTCATTCTGTCGAATGAAGATAGCTCAACTGTAGAAACTCTGACTGACACCGAATCGGTTGGGTTTCAATCCTAACTTGAGGCATTCGGATGTCTAGTCACACTGAGAAGCTGTGAAATAGTACTGTCTGCAAATGGCACACACACATACATATATTTCTGTAGTTTACTGCTACCAGCAAGCAGAAATATTTCTCCTCCCGATGATGGCCATTTTGGTCGAAACTAGTCGAGGAATCTAAATGAAATAATAATAAAAAAAAAACGAAAGAATATTAATCTAAAACCCAGTGTGTCTGAAGATTTTAACTTTTTAATATTTTCTTTATTGTTCAAGAAATAATATATATATATATATATATATATATATATATATATATATATATATATATATATATATATATGTATGTATATATATCAAGTATGTGGTACAGTTTAGTTTATATTACAGTGAATCATTCATACAAAAAGTAGATTAGTAAAGTTAATGTTATAAAATGGCGAAATCCTTTCGCAAAGAAAATTTTAAAGTTGCATTAACTACAAATCATTTGGACACTAATCCATTTTCATTAAATACGACTGACAATGTGTTTCATTATACACTGCTGACTGCGGCTAATCTTTATTTAGTTTTTTTGTGTTCTTTACTGGAAGTGTGTAAAAATTGTCCGAATGTTCTGTACAAGCGCTTTCGGTTATTCTTTTAACCATTATGAAGATTTTTTTAGACACACACGAACTGTTGACCCCCTGACCCTAACTCGTAACCGTCATTACAGCTTTTTTTATGCACAAACATCAGAATAATTATTTGTGGAAAGCAACTCATTCTCCCAACTAGTATATATAATTAAATATAAGTATTAAAATTATCGACATTTTGGCCAAATTCGAACCCTGCCTAAGTATCACCTTCATGTTTAATTCTATTTTTCTATTTCTTTCTTGTTTTGATCTGTTGGTGAAAAAAAAAATTTTTTTAAAAATTAAAAATAAATGAAAAAAATAAAAATGGAAGAGAAACGGCTGCCTATGCAGTTACTGAGTCTTTTGATCTTGCTACAATGGATCGCTTCTCCGTGAATCAGTATTTCCGGTTTTTTTTTTTAATTCGGTTTCCTTTAAACGAATCAAGAAATTTTCGAGTGTTTTCTTCTTTATTCTTAATTTTCCTTCGATTTAATTGAAAATAAAAACAAACAAAAAAAAATCCAATATTTAAATGAGAAAGAAAGATTTATTCATTTTTTCTTTCATTTTTTTTCTTTTCTCTTATAGAATAAGAGGGTTTTGTTTTAAAAGCGAACTAGAGACATAAAGCGGTTTCAGAATGATGGGTTGTTATAAAAAGAGAAAGAAAAAGAAAAGAAAAGAAAAGCTTAACCGGAACGAAAAGCGTTTACCCGAAAGATAACCGCGGATAAGAAAAACGGTGAGATTTACCTCCATTGATGAATAAGGGGATTTTATTTCCTTCACTTCGTTCATTTTGACATGGTTTCATGATGCAGTATAAATCATAGAAACGGAACAATGTCTTATTGCTGCAAAACTTATTTCACCGTTCCCTTTACGATTAAATTTGTTCGTTTTTATTTTGATTGCATTTATGGCAAATATCTTTTTACAAGCTCTAATCTTTCTGATCTGCTTCCTGACTAATTTCCTTGTCATTTTCTCTTTCGTCTCTTTTCATCTCTCTCTCTCTCTCTCTCTCTCTCTCTCTCTCTCTATCTATCTATCTATCTATCTATCTATCTATCTCTTTTTCATTCATATCTATCTATCTATCTATCTATCTATCTATCTATCTATCTATCTATCTATCTATAAAAAGAATACCCGCTCGGCCCGGTGGCTATGATCAAAGTGTAGTATCTGCGCTTTGTGAGCTGCCGGGTCGGGTGTCTGTCGAACTCTCTGCTTGCAGAGAGGAACCCGGACGAGGCTCCGTCGAAGGGTAGGGTTTCGTTGGGGAGGTTGACGGAACTGGCCCGCCTCGGCGGGTTTGGATGGTTATTTATTTTTGGCTGGGCCTACGGGCTCAGAGATACCCACATTAAAAAGGCCTTGTGCCACATTCGATCCCCGTGGGTGGATTGATAAATACTATCTATCTATCTATCTATCTATCTATCTATCTATCTATCTATCTATCTATCTATCTCAGTCTTTTCATTCATATCTATCTATCTATCTATCTATCTATCTATCTATCTATCTATCTCTATCTTTTTCATCTATCTATCTCAGCTTTTCATTCATTATCTATCTATCTATTCATTATCTATCTATCTATCTATCTATCTATCTATCTATCTTTTTAGCGATTTTTAAATCAATGAAATCATCCACATTGATAAATGTGTCAACACAACATAATCCTCTTTCGTAAAAAATCTTACTCTAGCATGATAGAGCATGTCGCCTCTAAGTGATGACTTCAATGTTCACTTTGATATATATATATATATATATATATATATATATTGCCAGAATATAAGGAAAGGAAATATTTTTGGCCGAGCCTACGGTCTCACAGAACCCACGTTAAGCCGGTCTTGTGCCACATGCAACCCACTTATAGCTAAATATACTAGTACACCAGGGTACCCAAAAATTCCAACATATTTAGTTTTTTAAACAATTTCTCATGCGATTTAATAATTTTTTTCTTTTCAGATGATAAATAAAATCTGTCCGAATGTTGTTTTTTTTTTTTTTATCCGGGCGCTTTCGGAGATATATTTAACCATTTTCAAGGATTAAATATTTTAACTGTTAAATAAGAAATAGTTTGTAGGGTGTATGTATTTATATAATGTTTTCATTTTTCAAAACACGGTCAAGATATTGTGTCCATGTTCATAGTTAGGTGCTGTTTTTTTTGTTTTTATTAAAAACACTTCCATTAGTTTTAGACTTTTTTGTGTGTAGATAATGCTATTATATTAGTGTTGTCAAAAATTATGTTACGAATAGTGTCCGGTAGGTCTCATGAATATTTAAATGAGATCTAATTGAGCTATGGTCAGAAAAGCGTCGACTGAGTCTGCGTGTCAAACATGTAGCGTGGGCTATATAATTATTTACGAATTTTGATTGATCAGGAATACAATTCCTTCATGAGCATTTAAATTCGTAAATAATATTTGCCCTATTTAATTTTGTTCTATGAGGTGAATTATTATTCTTAACTATAAACCATACATGCAAGAACCTATTTCTTATTTAACAGCTAAAATAATTAATCCTTGAAAATAGCTAAATGTATAGCCGAAAGCGTTCAGATAGAAATAATATTCGGACAGTTTTATATAATTTATCATCTGAAAAGAAAAAAAAATAGATAGCATGAGAAATTGTATAAAAAAAACTAAATAAAAGCAGCTTGTCTGTAGTATTCTATGAAATGTGCATGAAAGAAGGATTGGTGCCTAAATACACAAATTTTATATATATATATATATATATATATATATATATATATATAATTCTGTTTTATTAATTATTTCTGTGCTTTGGAAACAATTGTAAAGAATGATTTTTGCCTATAAAATTTTTATTTACTTTACGTAGTATTCTCTCTCTCTCTCTCTCTCTATATATATATATATATATATATATATATATATATATATATATATATGAGGTAGAGAAAAACAGCGAGAAATGGTCCCACAAAACCACTAATACGACGTTCAAACAAATTAAATGCTTAAGAACGAAATACAATATTTTCGTTATTCATGATGCTATACAAATCATATAAATTAATGTGTGTCAGTGTCCATTTTCAGCGGCATTGGTCATATGCAGTAACTGCGTAATGTTAATTAGCAATATAAAATAAAACAATTTAGATTCTATTTGTTCCTGGTAAATTTCCAACGTGGAAATCCTAAGATAATTAAAAATAGTATTTCAAAGGAAAAAATAATTAATAATATTAATAATAAAAAAATAATAATTTTTCACTAAACAGTATATCTACATGTATACATATACTTAAATAACGTGATTAGATTAAGGTTCTTTGATCTCATTCAACTTTTACCAGACTTTTTGAAATCGCTAATCGAAAAAAACTAATAATTTTTCACTTTAAACGAAATCGGAAGAGTATTCGAATTCTACATTACTTTCATACATATTGGGAAAGGTAGGATTTCATCCTCCCCGAGCTAAATAAACAGTTGTATTGGAATAACGTGATTAGATTAAGGTTCTTTGATCTCATTCAACTTTTACCAGACTTTTTGAAATCGCTGTTGTGTTTGTCGAAAGTAAAAACTGAGATAATGGATCTTTTAGATAAGCTTCAATAAAACCTTGGGTGTGCGGATGTTGTACTGGATAGCGACTTAGAATGCGAAATCGGAAGAGCCGAGTTCGAATTCCAGCTTGGTTCGTTACTTTCACTTACACTCAAATACCGTTGGGAAAGGTAGGATTTCATCCCCTCCCCGAGCTATAGGTTAAGTAGTAACAGTTGTATCTGGAAAAAATATCTTATTCCCAAAAATCTTTTTCAATATTTACTCGAAAAGGAATTATTCTTAAAATCCAAAATCTGTTTCGGCTTTGAATAAACCAGAAAGGAAGGATAACCTGCAAAATAAGACCCCCCCCCAAAAAAAATAGTCAATCAATCAAATACATATTCTTTGAATTATTTTTGAAATTCTTTAAGAAAATATTTTGTTTATTAACGTTCACTTAATCCGTTTTATTTTGTGTTAACATTTGTGGATACCAAATACTTGAGGATAAAATGGAGTACACACAATAATTATTCATTGTCTTCCCTCATCTTTGGTTTTATAGGCTGGGGGGGGGTCTCAAATTCATAATAGAACGATTATGTGCTGGGGAGAAGCGCAGTAGGCCAGAAGCGAAGCAGACAGAGTGAGGCATCAATTCCTGAAGGGGGCATCAACTCCAGAGGGAGCCCATTCGTGAAAGCGCATTTTCTCGCATTAAAATTAATTTACATCATATCCACGGAAGCAAATTTTTCGGTGGTGGTCAGTTTCCCAAATTATGAGTTTTCAAAATCATTTTTCATTATACAATGTGTTGTGGATTCCGAGATGAAATACCAATAAATAACAAACGCCAAGAATGAATATAGGAAAATAAATGTATTAACGTAATAATACAATCTGGTAAAGCAGGTTAGTAGTTCCAGGAATACGGGTTAGTAGCAAAATATATATATATACAGTCTTTAGTATTGAAGTATCGCTGTAGGACTTCTTACTGAGTCTACGTTCTCGCTCACTGGCTCTTGCTGGCTACGTTCGTTCTGTCTGTCTGTTACCTTCAACCTTTCACTCCCCCTCTTCGGTCTGTCTCTCGGGTCTTCCCGTAGCAGCAGTATATGTATATACTGGGTGAGTCCATTTGTGTAAAAACGGGAGGACCACTCAACAGTAATTCAAAGTCTTTATGTTATAAACATTTTAAAACATTGTTGCTGTACTCATGATTAATCTTATTTAGTGCTGCTTGTAATTTTCGTATATAGAGGTCTTCAAGAATTTGGATTATTTTGTTTTTATTTTCATGCTGAAATATACTTGTATTGCCAATTAATATTTCTATTGTCCTTGGGGGGAAAAAAAGGAATGCAAAAATAATGGTTTTGCTAATTTGTGGATTCCGGGTTGAAATCCGGTACCAATAAATAACAAACGCCAGGAATGAATACATGAAAATAATGTATTAACGTAATAATACAAACTGGTAATGCAGGTTAGTAGTTCCAGGAATACGGGTTAGTAGCAAAATATATATACAGTCTTTGGTATTGAAGTATCGCTGTATGACTTCTTACTGAGTCTACGTGCTCGCTCACTGTGACTCTTGATCGCTACGTTCGTTCGGTCTGTCTGTCTGTTACTTTCACCCTCTGTTGCTTTCGTTCTCTTGGGTCTTCACGTAGCAGTAGTATATGTATATACTGGCTGAGTTCATTTTTGTAAAAAGGGGATGACCCCCCCCCAACAGAATAAAAAAAAGAGACCAAACATTGTCGCGAAGTACATTTGTACCCTCTTCTCAGATCGCTGATGAAAAGTACGTGATTGTGTAGAAATTAAGTTTTCTATTTTAGAGGAATTGGAACAGACCCTTCTGAGCTTAAAATTGATTGACTTTCGGCATGCACTTGTTGAATAGGTCAAGTTCAATATTGTCCGTGCAATAAAAAAAAGATAAATAAATAATTAAAAAGCAATATGGAGAAAGATGTTAGATTCTTACCAAATGGAGTGTCAACTGATCATGTGACTTTCTTCGGATTCGTCAGCTAATTGATTTTAACTACACTCCATCTGAATATCAACTGGTACATCAATATCTGTTTTCAATCGGGATTCTATATATCTTTCTCTACCTCTCCTTCTCTCTCTATCTAACTCTCTCTACCCCTCCTTCTCTACCTCTCTCTCACTATTTCTCTATCTCTCTTTCTTTATATCTCTACCTATCCCTTTACCTCACTCTCTCTCTCTAGCTCTCTATTTACCTCTCTCTCTGCCTCTCTCTACCTCTCTAACTCTCTGTCTACCGGTCTTTCTATCGCTCTCTCTATTTTTCTCTCTCTACCTCTCTAAATTACTCTCTCTCTCTTTACCACTCTCTCTTTCTCTACCTCTCCCTGGCTACTTTTCTGCCTCTCTCTCTACCTATCCCTTTACCTCTCTCTCTAGCTCTCTCTTTACCTCTCTTTTCCTCTCGCTACCTCTCTAACTCTCTTTCTACCTCTCTCTCTATCTCTCTATCTTTATCTCTCTACCTCTCTAAATTTCTCTCTCTCTACCTCACTCTTTACCACTCTTTCTTTCTCTACCTCTCTCTCTACCTATCCCTTTACCTCTCTCTCTAGCTTTCCCTTTACCTCTCCTTTCCGCTCTCTACTTCTGTAACTCTCTCTCTCTACCGCTCTTTCTACCTCTCTCTCTACCTCTCTATCTTTCTCTCCCTACCTCTCTTTCTCTCTATATATACCTCTCTCTCTACCACACTCTTTACCACTCTTTCTTTCTCTACCTCTCTCTCTACCTATCTCTTTACCTCTCTCTCTAGCTCTCCCTTTACCTCTCCCTTCCTCTCTCTAACTCTCTTTCTACCTCTCTCTCTACCTCTCTATCTTTCTCTCTCTAACTCTCTAAATTTCTCTCTCTCTACCTCTCTCGCTACCTCTCTCTTTACCACTCTCTCTTTCTCTACCTCTCTCTCTACCACTTTATTTGCAAGCAGTCTTAATTATCTGTGACATCAACAAACGAGAGCATGTCGTCCGTCCTCATTTGCATATTTAGACCTATGCTTACACCCCAAAAGAAATTGAAAACTGTTCGACTTGGCCCACCTGAGGGTAAAGACCAACATGCGCACAGTCCGGTTTAAAGAAGTGATGTTTACTGATGACGCCGCCCTGATCACGCACACACCCCTAATACGACCTTCAACAACTCATCAGCCAGTTCGTCCATGCCTGCAAGGAATTCGGACTGACTATTAGCATCGAGTAATCGGATATCATCGGTCAGGATGTTTCTGCATCTGCATCAATCAGCATCGCCGACGATCACAGATCACTTCCCATATCTGGGCTAGCGCCCATCTCCAACAACTGATCGCTTGACCTGGAAACGCGTCGCCAAAGCGACAGCCGTGTTGGCCAAATTGCGTGAGAGATAGTAAAGACAACACTCAACTGACCTTGCGTACCAAAATAAACGTGCTTCAGGCATGTCTCCTTAGTATCCGACTTATGGCAACAAATTCGTGGAAGACATACGCGCCAAGCACGAAAATCGCGTGGAAAGCTTCCGTATTCACTGTCTACGGCGTATCCACAACATCAGACGATATCGACATGATGCACACGACTGGAGAAGCCATACTCTCTGTCAAGGTCATCATCAATAGATATAAGCTCATGTGCATCAAACGAATGACATTCATATATGTACGACGAATTAGCCACGGAACATCGTCTCTACCCTATATTATGTTTCAAGGTCATCTTTACTGGTAATGGTAGCCGTTTTCTTATAAAAAAAATATTTGGCATTCATTCACCGAGTAGCCAGTAAATTTGGGTTTGGAATTTTAAAAATATTTATTTTAAAACAATTTTTCAGGAAAATAGCTTTATCAAGTTATTGTTTTTTCTCCAGTATTGATAGGGCTTTTTTCTTAACCTTCTATTTGAGGTACTGTGGTACGCTAGCAGCTTGACTATGTCATTTTCTCTTCAAATTACAAGTGCTGTTCATTTTACTTCTGCTTTTGAAAGTTCTCAGGTGATATGATTATGTGAGACAGTTCTTGGTGATTATGTAACACCAGTTTATAATGTTCGAAGAAGGATGGTTTTCGCATAGCTCTACAGACATAGCTATTGACATAAAGGCATCGATTCAGGTGGCAGGAAACTACTAGGAAATGAAAGCAGCAGCTGACACCATACTGTCCAAAGTAGTCAAAGGGCGAGGAAAAGAAGACACCAATTGAAGTAGAGAAGGGAAAGTCACAGTAAACAGAGAGGCTAATCTGAGCTCTTTACCTCACAGTCCAGTTTTGCCTGCTTCACTTGCAGAAGATATTGGCATACAAACATCAGACTGCTACGCCATTCCAGGCGCTGCACACAACAGAGCCAAATTTCGACCAAAGAAAGGGCTACCATTATCTGGTGAGGTAAATTTTTTTCTTTTTACATTAATGTGGGTGTTGCTCAGGACTCTTTCCTCGGACCTAGTTTGTCTGGCTCATATAAATCTAGAGCATAGCATGAAGAGTCAGGTACTTAACAGAGCGGTACAAGGAGCCGAGTATTTTACCTGCATCTTTAGTGAGGGATCCGTAAGGGTTTGTCCTAATTCTGATCAACGACTTTCCGATTTCATCAGCCCTAGACGCGGTATCTATGCTATTTACTCCTGTTTTAATTGGAACCCTCTGTCTGTTCTACAAACACTTTCATGGAAATTGCTCCGAGGAGCTGCATCCGCTGGTTCCCAGACGTCATGAGTTCCAGCGCCTTACGAAGCTGGCATCCCGCTCTCACCCCTTCACTGTCGAAACTCCCAAATGTAGCCGTCTCTTCTACTCTAATAGCTTCATGGCTCGCACCTCTCGCCTGTGGAACTCCTTTCCCTATTCTAGTTTCCCTGAGAGCTATAATCACCAGCTATTCAAGTGTAATGTCAATCGACATCACCAGTTGCCTTGATCTACCCACTATCCTTCTCCTCATCCTTTCTTCTATCACTCCTATCTGATCTTGCTCTAAATTTTCTGTAACCCCTTGCGTCCCAGTGGCTTCCCGCCTTGCTTAGGGTGAAATGCTTAAAAAAAAAGAAAAAAAAAAAGAAAAAAGTTCGATAGGTTCAATAGTCAAAATGGCAGCTGATCCCAAAATTGATCTATAATCAGGTACTTAATTGGGAGAAGAAATTAATATATATATATATATATATATATATATATATATATATATATATATATATATATATATATAAAACAAATCTCATGTGCCGGTGTCGGGATGTCGGTTTCCTGGGGACTTATCGGCCTGACTCTCATACGTCGAACGCGACGGAGAGTCGATTATATATATATATATATATATGTGTGTGTGTGTGTGTGTGTGTGTGTGTGTGTGTGTGTGTGTGTGTGTGTGAGGAGTAATTGATAGCGGCACGGATTGACGAATCAGAGAGCCGAGTTCAAATTCCATTCGAATCCATTACATCCAATTACGTGTTAATAACCAAAGGAAAGTTATGGACCCAGTTCTTCTCCACCTCCCATGGATAAATAGCATGATAGCCTTATAGGAAAAGGACAACTCTGAATTCAAAATATGCGGAGGGTCGATTGAGGACCTTGTGGCACGTAGTGCACCAGGTCTCTGTATTCGGCGCTTAAAAAGGTGTCGATGGTTCTGCACAAAACCTTCATCACTATAATCAAATCATATGAGCTGGTGTCTGGGCTGTTGGTTCCTAGGAACTGATCTGCTTGACCCTCATTCATTGAAGAGTCAGTATATATATATATATATATATATATATATATATATATATATATATATATATATATAAAATTAATTGATTTAAAATGTTTTTTTCGCTACACAGTTCTAACCATGTTTCAAAAATGGAAGCTAAAAGCCCCGAATTTAATTTTGTAATTAAATTAAAGACATTAGTTCCATTTCATCCTCAAGCGAATTTTGGAGTAACTTTTAAAATTACTGGGTTTTAAAGACACAGCTAAAATCATTATTCATGTTTCCAAGGTTACAGATGAATCCAATTTACCAGACAAGGGTTGTCTCGGTGTCTATATTTTAATGTATCAGTTATTGCTACGTTTTGGTAGTGGGTAGGGATGTATTTTGTAAAAATAAAAATATCTATAAGAACACCGGATTATCTATCTTACTATTCTTTTTTTATATATATATATATATATATATATATATATATATATATATATATATATATATATATATTAATGCATGTTTCGTTAAATAATAAGTTTATATTTATTATTTAATTTATTGTAATGTCCTTTGTAATCTCTGATGATAGCCTATGTAAGCCACCACACACACACACACACACACATACATATATATATATATATATATATATATATATATATATATATATATATATATATATATAAGTTATGAAGAACTTGGTAATCCGTATGGGTAATCCCAAGGAGGATGAAATCCTGAGAGCTCAATGTAAATCCAGAGCTAATAATTTAAAGAAAAACAGACCACTTTAAGGTACCATTATAATAATTTATTTCACCAGAGCCCTTTTAAAGGATGCCGGATCATAAGATAGCACTTCCAAAAATTGAAAGAAAACGAAAAATGAAATTAAAATTGATGGGTAGTGTAAGTTTTTGTAATTTAACAGAGAGTGTAAAAGGAGTAGTTAAAGGGACATGGTAGAGTATAGGGAGGGATTAATTTCATATCTCTCTCAAGTATACTTTATATTGGGGGAGTAGGAGTGACCAGACCTTGACCTATTTAGATGGTTAAGTTAACGGAAGTGATATATAGAAATGGGAGTAGGGAGAAAAGAAAAGAGAGAGAGGGAAGTAAACAGAAAGAGGCTGTAATTGGGTTTTAGCAATTTATGTAAAGAATAGATTTTAATGCTTGATAGTAATTTAGATGTCTAAAAAAAAACCGAAGAAATTAATATATTACAAATTACATTCATAAATTAGATTCAAACTAATAAAGATGCTACCGTAAATGTTTTTTACAATATTAAAAAAGTACGATTGATCGGGTAAACAAACTGTTATAATTTAAATTTTTTTTAATATGTTCTCTATAAATGTGTTAATAAATATAGTATTTAACCTAAATTAAATCCCTAAACTATTTGTAAAAAAAAATAAATATTGATAGAAAGCTTCATATTAATTTCATCGGGATTTTTTAAATAAGTATACTGTTTACTTATTTTTTTTTTATTAGGTTCGTGAGGGATAATATATATATATATATATATATATATATATATATATATATATATATATATCAAATATGTGTCACAGTTCAATTTATATTACAATGAATGATTCATACAAAAAGTAAATTAGTAAAGTTAATGATAGAAAATGGCGAAATCACTTCGCTAACAAAATTTTAAAGATGCACTAATCTACTAATCACTCACTGAATGTTATGATCCTTGTTTTTTTTTTAAATTATAAGCTGTAGTAGGTCTTTCTTGAATACGCGAGTACTTTCGACTGTACATTCAATCATCTTCAGGCATGGAAATATGGAAATTATTTTGTTTTTAGTAAAATTCAGGTAGCATCCGAGACGAAAAATATAATGCGAATTAAAATATGTATTTTCTTTTTTAATTTGTTAATGATACGGATAGTTTTTTTTTTTTAACTAATATGGCAGTTTCAGTATATATCAATCAATGTGTCATGAACTAAAAAGTTCAATAAGTAGAGTAATGTCTCAGTTGTTATTCCGAAAATTTGCACATCGGATCAGTTCTTTAAAATCAAATATGTGGTGCAGTTCAATTTATATTACAATGCATTCAAACATTATTTACATTATTTGAACTGTTGCCCTCATCTTTGTCGCCATATTTATTACAACGGATAAAGGCATTGGTTAGATCCAGTGACAGGACCCAAAGAGTGTGAGTTCAATACCCGGTTAAGGCAGTGGAGAACTTTCAGGGGGAAAATTAATAG